TGATGATTAGGGCACAGAAGAACAACCAGGGGATCAGAATACAATGGCTGATTACCTGAGCCGAGCAACTGTGGACAAGGTGAAATGGCAACTATGTCCCAACGTATCCTCAGGGTTGAATCAGGCTTGACTGATACCCTACATAGATCTGATGCCCATTTCTTGGAGCTACCAGGTCCAGAAATATTTTTCTAGATTTTAGGACCAGAATGCTCAAGGTCAGGATACACTGACTCAAATTTGGAATTTTAGTCTGATGTACATATTTTTCCTGTTTTCAACTTTCCTAAAGGTAATTCAAAAGGAGACAGTGGAAAGCGAAATTCCTATGATGAGTAAGATGAATCTGGAATCTTCAAGGAAAATTCTAGTACGTCCAGACCTATTACAAGGTTCCTTGACACACCAAGATCCTTAAGTATGGGGGTTGATGCGGGAGTCTCTATAAGCACCCTGAGATGGTCATTAAGATCCTCTTACAGTCCTATAAATACTTTACGTATTACAAAACTAGGCATGCATTTATTTGTTGGTCTCAAGAATAGAGGTTGGAATTACTCCTCCATCAGGCCTAGAAATGGTCTGAGTTATAACACTCTAGAGGAGCACATATCGGCACTTTCCACATTGATGGGTACTGTCACGAACGCACCCTACTCCAAGAGTGTGCGTGACGTAGTTGTGGTGGTGAAAGGGTTAAAGTACACTATTTGTCTGCACTAGACCGGAAATAATGACAAAATCTCCCTTTAACACCACCCACACTTAAACATAATAATATAACTATTACTACTTTAACGCTGCCACCACCAAGACAATTTATAAATGGGGTGCCTTGGTCCCCCAGGTAAATCAATAATAAAAACACATCAAATATTACTTAGCACAATATTTAAGGAATTATAAAAATACTAACTAGTCTCTTCAGGTAACGTGATTCTTAACCAGACAAAGGCAAAACTTAATAAATGAATATTTATTATGAGCAAAAGATAGTCACAGTGCATATAAAAATATATGATAAACAAATTATTTACACCAACAACAGAAAAAAACAAAAAGGATAAAATACAGAAGTCCTAATTACTCACTTAGGTTTTCAAAGTACAACTTCTGTCCAGGGGGTCTCTGGCAAGGAAAGATGGTGACTCACCCAAAATTAGATCTTGGCCCCAAGCAAGTACACCAACACCCTTCAGGATCATAAGATATATACCCTGTGGTTTATCAAGTCTTGCCCAGGGGTGGAGTTAAGGCGTACCTACAGTAATAATAACTGACCACCTCCTTTGTTCCAGACCACTGTCAATCCAAATGGAAACATTTGACTCTATCTTCTTTTTTGTACCTGCCACAGAAATAATAATTGCATCTACAAATTTGTTATTATTTTCCCATTCCATAGACATGTTGCACGTCCCACCCACGATCCAATAGGACGGACATCACAATTCCTTTCCCTAGGGTCAAGTTAGGCCACTCATGTTTGGACTTGGTTAGAAGATGGCGCTTGTCACATTCCAAATATAACAAAAATGAGGCTTAATTATTATTCTGTGGGGGTAAATATGAATGTTTTTTGTCCTTCATTTGGATATGATACTAGAACAAAGCTAATGGCATTTACATATCAAAGAGATTTACTCACCACTTACAAAGTACAGGCCAAATGGATGAAGAGACATTCAGACTTTTTCCAAGTGTAGAACCTCACACCTTGCAGACTTCACATCCATACAGTAAAATCCTTTTCACATTCCTATGCCATTCACACTACCCCTTCTGTCATCTGCCCTCTGTGGGGGTCCCAGCTTCAAAAGATGTAACCCCTGTTGACCTCAGCAATAGCATCTCTGTAATTTGTGCCATTTACTACAAGAAATCACATTAAAAGATGATATTCCATAGTGTCATAATAAATTATACACCCTTGCCGTGACACCTCCCCCAAATAAGAGACGCAATGGGAGAAGGCTCACATGCCTCTACCTTGTGTATCAACACTTGTTCCTTTTTTGCCTCCACCTCATATACTCATCTTTTTCAGAACTCTGGTTCTACATGAATGGGGTAACCCTCACGTGTTCACACACCTCCCCCAAAAAGGCTTGCCCTTTGTCCCTAAGCCATATCACAGCCATATCCACAACACGCATGCCTGATTTGCCTCTTTCCATCTCCCACTGCGCTCTGATCACATCTCTCAGGCCACACCCACTGCGCCCGTGTAGTAGCTCTAAGGGGAAGAAACCAACCGATTTCTGCAGTACTCCCCTGTAAGCACACACAAGATGAGACAGAGGACACCTGCACTGTATCCACACTCCTTATCTGTTTTATTTTGCGCTCTGTCTGCTGGGCTCGTTGCACCTTTTTACTCTGAACCTTTGGTTCAGAATCAAAAAGTTGCTTAGAGACAGATGCCTTCTCCTGAGCTGGCTTAGGTGTATGTTGGAGGTGTGATTGTGATATGCCCTCAGGGATGGTGGTTCCCCCATTAGTATGTTCCCCTGCGGCCATTTTCCCTGGACCCACAGGTTGAGACTGTCCATGCCCCTCACTTTGGGCAGACCGTGGACGGGTCCCCCTATCTACTGATGGAACCTCTGTCTCTCCCTCACCTCCACTCCATGTCCTCACACACACTCTGCCCTCCCTCAAAGCCATGCTCTCCCTCCACACTTTCACACTGCCCAGCCAATACATTGGCATCAGGCAGATTTTGGCACACATATTCATTCAACCCTCTCTCCCTAGAATTCTCTTCCTGCACATTGTCACATAACACCTTTAGCACCCCTTGGTCAGGCACTGGATGTGAAACACACTCACGTAATTTCCTCTCCCAGCCAGGCCATCCTTCCATAATCTCACATAGCCACTCACTTTGTCCTTGTTCTGGCACCTGACATACTCCTGACTGAGATACAGGTGAACACATCAACTCATCCTGCCCTGGTTCCCAATGGTTTGATCCACTTGTGTTTTCACATGGCATCTTAAACAACCCTGGCTCTGACACAGATAGGCACACACGCTCATCCAGCCCCGCCTCGCTGTGCAGCTGTTTTTGCCCACTCACACATGGCATTTCAGGCACCCCTAGTGCTGGCACAGACACGCACACATGATCAATTTGCCCTCGCTCCCAGCACAATTGCCGGCATACACCTTCACCTGTTTCCACAGACACCCCTGGTTCAGGCACAGATTGATACACATTCTGCCCTCCCTCCCAGTAAAGTTGCCCTGGCAAACTTCCACCATGTACCACAGACAACTCTGGTTTTGGCACAGCCTGGCACGCATGCTCATTCTGCCCTCCCTCCCAGCAACTTTGTCTTGGCACATTCTCACATGATATTGCAGACACTTCTGGTTCAGGCACAGACCAGCACACATGCTCAGTCTGCCCTCCCTCCCAGCACAATTGTCTGCATACATTTTCACAAGTTTCTACGGACACCCCTGGTTCTGGCACAGATTGACACACATTCTGCCCTCCCTCCCAGCGAAGTTGCCCTGGCAAACTTTCACCTGATACCACAGACAATTCTGGTTTTGGCCCAGCCTGGCACGCATGCTCATTCTGCCCTCCCTCCCAGCAACTTTGTCTTGGCACACTCTCACATGATATTGCAGACACCTCTGGTTCAGGCACAGACCCGCACACATGCTTATTCTGCCCTCCCTCCCAGCACAATTGTCTTCATACATTTTCACCTACTGCCCTCTGCACAGTAGGGCCCCTATGAGGCTTGGGTTTATAACATACATTACTTTCTGGCACATACTGTGATAGCAATCTACCTAAGTCAGTACCAAGTAATACATTTGCAGGGATATTCTCATCTACCCCCACATTTCTGAAACCCTTCCCCACTCCCCAATCCAAATAAACTCGTGCCATTGGCACTACAAGTCGTACCCCCCCAATTCCTTTAACTGCTAGAGTCCTGCCAGGAATTAAGTCCTCAGAGCACACTAGCTCTGGACGCACAAGAGTCACGTCTGCCCCAGTATCCCTGAGTCCCACAGTTACCTCTCTTCCAACTGTCACAGGTTGCAGATTCACATTGTTGCTGCCTTCTGATCTGGTTACAAACAACACAGAGGACGTTGGTTCTGAGGAGCGTCCCTCCCCAGCTGATGATACTGGCTGCCGTTTCACAGGGCAAGCAACACTAATGTGCCCCACTTGGTTGCAAATAAAAAACCTGCGACTATCTCCTTGCGCAGACATGGCACTAGCTCCCCCTCTCCCTGAGGTAGGAGCTGAAACAAAAGATGGCCCGCTAGGCCTGGTGATGGGGAGTCGTGGTGGTGTGGTCCTCCAGCTGGAGGTTCCCTTGGCAAACCCTCTGCTCTGGTCCACTGTTGCTCTGTTGGCAGTGTGGACATCTGCCAGCTTACCCGCTTCCAATGCTGTTTTGGGGTTCCGGTCCAGCAGCCATTCCTGTACATCAGCTGGGCAGAGCTGCAAAAACTGTTCTTTTATTAACAGGTCTTGCAAACTTTCCAAAGTGGTAATCTCCAGCCCTGTAGTCCACTGTCGGAATGCTGTCGCCAGGTGCCCCACAACCGCTGCATAACTCTCTGTGGGATGCTTTTGCAAAATCCTGAATTTCTTTCGGTACACCTCAGGAGTAAGGTTGTACCGTTCCTGCAAGGCAGCCTTAATCGCATCATAGTCCTGGTCAAATTCTGCTGGAAGCGCAGCAAATGCTTCCAGTGCAGGACCTCTGAGACCAGGGGTGAGGTATTTTGCCCACTGGTCCTTTGGTAGCTGGTACTGCCTGCAAACTTTTTCAAAACTGCGCAGGAAAACATCCAAATCACCATCTTTGTCCAAAGTTGGAAAATTCTCTGCACGTGGTTTGGGTGCAGAAGAGTCTCTGGAATTAATACTTATAGGGGAGGCAGTCAACCTCTCTAACTCAGCCATTTTTAGCTCATGCTCTCTGGCAGCTTGTCGCTCGGAGGCCTCTCTCTCAACCTGCCGCTCTTCAGCCTCCCTCTCAGCAGCCTCTCTCTCCCTCTCAGCTTGGCGCTCTCTCTCAGCTTGGCGCTCTCTCTCAGCTTGGCGCTCTCTCTCAGCTTTGCGCTCTCTCTCAGCCTCCTGATACTGAAGGATAAGCTGTAGTCTTTGGTTTGTGTCTGCTGAGTCCACATATTTCAACACAGTTTGTAAGTAACAATCCAGAGGATCTCCAGATCTTGGTACATCACTGACAAAAGCTACAGGTATATCCTCTGCAGTGTTTGAGGCATCACTTTGCACTGCTTGTTGCATATCATAGTCCACCAGTGCTTGCAATAGTTCCTCTTTTGTTTTTCCAAGACAGGGAATAGATCTCTCCCGGCAAAGCAGGTCTAGCGCTGCCTTGGATTGTGCCTGGTACTCCATTTGGTAAATAAAAGATAGGAAAGAAAAAACAGAGAAGGGGGGGGACTGTTGAGGTGTAAATATATTATATATGCACTGAGTTCAGCCTTTGGAAATTGAGACACAATCTCTTTTAGTGCCTGGATTAACCAACAAATCCAGCAACACTAAAATCTGGTACAAAAAGATGAAAAATCTTTTTAGTTATCCCACCGCTATGCCACCAATTTGTCACGAACGCACCCTACTCCAAGAGTGTGCGTGACGTAGTTGTGGTGGTGAAAGGGTTAAAGTACACTATTTGTCTGCACTAGACCGGAAATAATGACAAAATCTCCCTTTAACACCACCCACACTTAAACATAATAATATAACTATTACTACTTTAACGCTGCCACCACCAAGACAATTTATAAATGGGGTGCCTTGGTCCCCCAGGTAAATCAATAATAAAAACCCATCAAATATTACTTAGCACAATATTTAAGGAATTATAAAAATACTAACTAGTCTCTTCAGGTAACGTGATTCTTAACCAGACAAAGGCAAAACTTAATAAATGAATATTTATTATGAGCAAAAGATAGTCACAGTGCATATAAAAATATATGATAAACAAATTATTTACACCAACAACAGATAAAAACAAAAAGGATAAAATACAGAAGTCCTAATTACTCACTTAGGTTTTCAAAGTACAACTTCTGTCCAGGGGGTCTCTGGCAAGGAAAGATGGTGACTCACCCAAAATTAGATCTTGGCCCCAAGCAAGTACACCAACACCCTTCAGGATCATAAGATATATACCCTGTGGTTTATCAAGTCTTGCCCAGGGGTGGAGTTAAGGCGTACCTACAGTAATAATAACTGACCACCTCCTTTGTTCCAGACCACTGTCAATCCAAATGGAAACATTTGACTCTATCTTCTTTTTTGTACCTGCCACAGAAATAATAATTGCATCTACAAATTTGTTATTATTTTCCCATTCCATAGACATGTTGCACGTCCCACCCACGATCCAATAGGACGGACATCACAATTCCTTTCCCTAGGGTCAAGTTAGGCCACTCATGTTTGGACTTGGTTAGAAGATGGCGCTTGTCACATTCCAAATATAACAAAAATGAGGCTTAATTATTATTCTGTGGGGGTAAATATGAATGTTTTTTGTCCTTCATTTGGATATGATACTAGAACAAAGCTAATGGCATTTACATATCAAAGAGATTTACTCACCACTTACAAAGTACAGGCCAAATGGATGAAGAGACATTCAGACTTTTTCCAAGTGTAGAACCTCACACCTTGCAGACTTCACATCCATACAGTAAAATCCTTTTCACATTCCTATGCCATTCATACTACCCCTTCTGTCATCTGCCCTCTGTGGGGGTCCCCGCTTCAAAAGATGTAACCCCTGTTGACCTCAGCAATAGCATCTCTGTAATTTGTGCCATTTACTACAAGAAATCACATTAAAAGATGATATTCCATAGTGTCATAATAAATTATACACCCTTGCCGTGACAGGTACCCATTGAGCATTGGAGCCCCTGGTGCTTTGTTTCATGTAAGCAGTGATTGGTCCTATGAACCCCTATTCACTAATTTTCAACAGGATATGGTTGTCTTGCATTTAGCACCAGAGATCATGCCTAAGGGCTTGCGGTTGGTCTAGTTCGGTAGTTTAAAAACCGAACAAACTACTGAACAGAGTCAATGTTCTTACCCTAGAGCTTGTTCACCTTGTTCGTGGGAAACTTCCACTAAACAGTGCCCTTCTAAGTTGTGTCGAACCGAACGCAGGTGATCCTGGAAGTCCATCGGTGTTCAGGAGTTTCAGTGCCCGAAAACAGTTCCATGAACTTGACGACCAAACACCGCTGGGAACAAGATGGCCGCCACCTTGTGGTCGTTCATGCGAACACCGGTCACCCAGACAAACACTTAGAACACTTTGGTGGAAAGTTTTACAAACTGTCAATTAGGCTTAACAAGCTCCCGGGTGGTCTCTGGTTTGTGCGCCTGTTCGGTTCCCAAACCAAATATAAAATCCCACAAACCAAGTCTGATCACGTAGTTTTTAAAGACCACATAGTCTTTTGGCAGAAGGCTGGCAAGCAGGCCCCTCCATGAACATGTGGCAGAGGCATTTCTGCCAAACACGTGTTATATATACACGTATTATATGTATATATGTGTGAATTTTGTGGGAAATGTATTCATACTTACAGTAATTTTCTTTTCCTGGCAGCATATACAAATAGGTGAGCTCCTCCCCTTACAGCCGATAGGACAGGGAAAACACCAAAGGCTTTAAAAGGAGGCTCCATTCCTAAGGTCCTCAGTCAGTAACAATATAGAGACATTGATGGGTGGGTAGTATATGCTGCCAGGAAAATAAAAATTAAGTTAAGTATGAATACATTTTCCACTTTCCTGGCTAATCATGGCAGCATATACAAATGGGAATACCCAAGCTTCAAAGGGAGGGACAGAAACATAAATAACTAAGCACCCCAAATTACAACCCTGGCACACCAGCTGACCCAATACCTCCAAAAATAAAAGTGTATATATATATATATATATATATATATATATATATATATATATATATATATATACACACACATATACATATATACACACACATACATATACACATACACATCCCCACTCCACCCCCCTGGTCATCCTAGGGTATTTATTGAACACTTTTCTTTCTGGCTACCCCATTTCCTCTCCTCTTGCACTACTTCATTCATTCTTGGGGACTTTAATATCCCAAACAACAAACCTAACTGCCCTGATGCCTCTTGTCTGTTCTATATAACCTCCTCCATTGGACTCACACAGTGGTCTAAATTATCAACTCATAGAGATTGATCATCTTCATCAATCTCTGTACCACCTCTAATCTCTCCAATGATCCATTTCCTCTATCTAACCACCTTTTGCTGTCCATTGACATCCGCCTACTCTGTACCCAAAGTACCTCACCCTCACCACATCAGTCTTGCAGAAACCTCCATTGTCTTGACCTACAGCAATTCTCCACCAACCTCCAAAGTCTCCTTTCACCAATCTCAAATGTGACCTGCCCTAACACTGCATCTCCCTTTACAACTCCACTCTCGCCTCTCCATTAGACATTATGGCACCTCCTACACTTAAATGCACTAAGCGCCCCAAATTACAACCCTGGCACACCAGCTGTCCCGATACCTCCAAAAATGTTCCAGAACTGTTGAATGCCGCTGGAGAAAGTCTCACTCTGCATCTGACTTCCTCCACTATAAATTTATGCAGCGCTCCTACAGTCTGGCTCTTTCCTCTTCAAAAGAAAACTACTACAATACACTCATAATCACACTCTCCTGCGAGCCCAAACAACTGTTTCATGCTTTTAACTCTCTTCTTCATCCTGTCATGCCTCCTCCTCCTACAAACTTGACCCCACAAACTTTGCAACTCACTTCACTGATTTCTACAATCAGGGAAGAGATCTCTCATCTCTCTCCATCCACTACAAACGTTTCCCCTAACCACACTCCCTCCAAAGCTCATTTGCCCTCACTACAGCAGAAGAGGTTTCTGCTCTGCTCTGCTCCGTTCCTCCCACCCCACCACCTGTTCTGTCAATTCTATTCCCTCATATCTCATCCGCACTTTGTCTTATTCTCTTGCTCTGCCTCTCACAAAAATGTTCAATCTCTCCCTCTCCTCTGGTATATTTCCTCTCCCCTTCATGCAACTGAACCTCCAGATTCTGAAAAAGCCCAACCTTGACCCTAATTCCCCGTCCAATTACCAACCTATCTCGCTACTGCCGTTTGTCTCCAAGATCCTTGAGTGAGTTGTGTATGTGAGATCGATAGACTTCTCCCAATCCAACGCTCTGCTTGACCCACTTCAATCTGGATTCCAGGCTCGTCACAATGTTGAAATAGCTGTGACCAAAGTATACAATGATCTTATCACTGCTAAATCCCATGGCCACTATTCTATCCTAATTATCTTAGACATTTCTGCTGCATTTGACACTATTGATGATCAACAGCTTCTTCTCATCCTCCGTTATCTCGGTCTACGAGATACCGCTCTCTCCTGCTGCTCTTCCTATCTCTCCATTTAGTGTTTCTTTCTCTGGCTCTGCCTCTTCTACTTAGTCCCTCTCTGTTGGTGTTCCCCAAGGGTCTGTCCTTGGTTCGATATTGTTCTTAATCTACACTGCCTCCTTTTGTAAACTCATCAGCTCCTTCAGCTTCCAGTATAATTTCTATGCGGATGACACGCAAATTTATCTGCTCCCCCCAACCCCCCGATTTCTCACCACCCCTCTTGACTGCCTCTCTGCTATTTCCAACTGCATGGCTGCTCATTTCCAGTTGTGTTATTGTCATAAAATTGGCTTCTAGATTTGTTTTCCACTTGCCTATCTTGATGAAGGCTATTAGGCTCCTGCTGACCTTGTATAAAGCCAAGCATTTTAGTAACCATGCATGTGACATTGTGTCATAGGCTTTCTGGTAGTCAATCCAGGCTGTGCACAGATTGGTCTGTCTGTTTTTAGAATCCCATGTCACTGTTTGGTCTACCTGCAGTTAATTTCTGATCCTCTGGTATTGTTTCCAATTCCCTTTTGAGTATTACTCATGTACAGACTCATATACCCATCGATCTTGGAGGTTATTATACCTGACAGGACTTTCCATGTTGCGTAAGGCAAATGATTGGTCGATAGTAAGACGGTGTTGTTCCCCTGTGAGGTTCCATCATGACCAGTATTGTTCTGCCTTGTGTTAGCCAGTCAGGGTGGAAGACTGGTGCTAGTAGCTGGTTCATTTGAGCTGCTAGACAGTCAAGTGGCATTGTTAGTTTTTTTTATACAGCAGGTTTGGATCATGTCAGGTATGACCAACTAATATCGGCTACTCGTTGTTGAATATCTCTTATTGTGATGCTATCTGGTTGCTGTTCTGAGAGCAAGCAGTGGTCTGATTTCAGGTTTAGTA